TTCTATGCTAACAGTTTCTTCTCTTGCACTTCTCTCTTGTGCAAAATTTAAATTCAATGTCAATCATTGTCTTTGGTTTTCTTAATTCCTGTTCTTTTATTGTTCCTTTAATAATATTATTTTTCTCATATTCTCTCACAACTCAGAAACCTCCTTGTGCTTTAGTGGCTTTATTGTCACACTTTGGGTGAAATGGACAAAGTCTGACAATTATTTTAAGACATTTTTATGTTTATACATTCTTTTTATAGATACAAATATTTAAGTAAATACACTGTTTTAAATATTTGTATCTATAAAATGAATGTATAAACATAAAAATGTCTTAAAATAATTGTCAGACTTTGTCCATTTCATAATGTGTGACATCATTTGTTTACATTTGGATATGCTTTGAGCAGATATGATTGTACGTGAGAGATTCATGGAAGATTGAAGCTTAAAAGCAGTGAAATCGACGTAGCTAATTGAACGATCCTCCATGGCTCAATTGGTTAAGGCACGTCAGTGATGCTTTTGTATAGGATACAGGTTCGATTCCTGTTAGAGGACAAATATTTTCTATGAAAATTTCTCGGACATTCGGGCTGGTAAATGTTATTAATACTGTTTATTACTAAACAGAGCATTTACTTAAATATTTGTATCTATAAAAAGAATGTATAAACATAAAATGTCTTAAAAATATATATATATATATCTTTCTGCATCATGAGTTAAATAGCAGGTTAGACTGGGTTCTCTGGCAACCAGTCTAAGAGAAGGAAAACTTTGAAACACAAACTGTGGAAAACATAACGGGAAACTACTCTATTATTTTCCTTAAGAAGATGGCAATTTGTCTGTCTGAGATTTTTCAACATTCTTGCTGTTTGACAGGGTGGGGCCCTCTCAGTGCATATGTTTTAGATTTTGGCAATGTTTAACTTTTGTGCCCATAAAAAAGAAAGTTGTGTCAAGAGGACCATTATTCCCTTGACACTGCTATTATTTTAAACTACTTCAAATCCCTTGACAATGTTTATGTATTCAACCATTTAGAAAGAACAGTGATCAAGTAGGTCTAGAGTTCTCAAATCAATATCGATGATGATAACGCAACTATTTACTATTTCTTAATGGTAAGTCTGATTGGTTCAATAAGTTCAAATTAGCAGCTGAACTGAAAAATGAACTACAATCTGTTGTTAACTGGGGCAAGAAATGGCTGCAAAAGAGAGACATTTCAGCTCTCTTTTAATCTTCTGAGAGAATATTTTCATCTTCCATCAACATGGCTGTAGCTAACCTCCAAGAGAGCAACTCACTGCACCTTCTTGGGCAAATGTTTTCCACTGACATGAAGTGGAAAGATTATATTGAATCAATTTCTAGATCTGCTGCTTGGAAAATTGATTTCAGAATTTTTTTAAGCGCCAGAATCTATCTTACACAGTTATAAGTCTACCATTCATCCATGCATTGAATATTGCTGTCCCATCAGGTTTAGTGCTTCTGCTATGCATTTAGAGATTCTTGATAAAATCCAAAGAAGAATCTGCAATGTTATTAGTCCTGACTTGGCATCTCACCTTGAGTCCCTTTCCTACTTCTGTAATGTACCTTCTCTATAAATATTTTCATGGTAATTACTCTGATGAGCTTTCATCTGTTTTTTATTTGTCCCACCCACAAAACAAATTGTACATATAGAAACTAGTTAAGACTTCATAGAGACTTTGAGGCATTATGGTGTCTGTAGCGATAATGGTATGTGATGTTTTGGTACAAAGAATACTGTGGTATGTTTGTGTCAGTAATTGTGGCTAGCTAAGTTTAAGATAAAAAAAATTGAAGACCAGCCTTTCACTATCCCCCTCTCTTTTGGCCTTGTGTCACATTTTTGTATTTTTAACATAAATATTGCTTTCCTCTTTGATACCTTGACTTTATGAACTTAAGTGCATTTTTTGCATTTACTTATATGCAAATACCCTAGAAAATTGGTATGTATCCATCTTTTCTGGGGTGGATAACTGAGATATCCAGAAAAGGCATGGCATGTGGAACAAGAACAATCTACTCTGGTTAATGAAATAAGGGGTTTGGTTTGAAATTCCAATGTGTATCACTTGAAGAAGGCCGGAGTGTACACTGGCTGAAAGATCGTGAATAGGGCAATAAAGATGAGGACAATAGTCCAAACAATGTAAATAGTGTAAATAAATCAAGTATTGCATATAACAACTAAAGCAGAAAGATGTGGAAAACCATGATGACTGATGTCCTGAATGGACATGGTAAATATTAGGTAGAGTCATGAATAACTTCCATTTTTGTTTATTTTGGGGGAAAATTAACGTTGGTAAAGAACAATTATATTTTATTCAATCGAATACTCACCATTATTTGCAATGACTTATCACTTGTCACTTATCAGGCAGATTTTATTCAATTCTATATTTGCCATTATTTGCATATGACTTGTTGCTACTTATCACGCAGCTCTTCAATACATTTTGAGTAAAATATTTGCAGGTTTTGATGTAAAAGATTTTTTTAAGAAACATTTGAAACTGGTTTTCATTAGAGAAACTTTTCCCCATTAAAGTGTTTTGAAGCAACTGAAAAAGATAATTAGATGATATCAGGTAAGGTGAATATGGTGGGTTGGATAAAACAGATGAATAGAATACCCAATTTTTTTTCTTGTGTTATACTTGCTGTATGCCATTTTCAATTGTCATGAAGAACAACAACATTTTTCCTATTGATGAGCACAGAGCACTTTTCAACTAAACGTTTATGGACATGTTACAGCTGCTGGACGTTTAAATGTGCATTTAATGTTTCATTGAACTTTTAGAACTGACTGAATAATATCCAAACAATTACACTACGGGCACATTAAGTTTCTTTTATGGAGCTCAGCTTTTGGAGGTCAATTGTGGAGATTTATCCTTGTCAATTCACTGACTTTTGCATTGAGTTAGGATGATGTATTCATCATTACCTTCATCCCCTATATGGAAATAACTTATATGTCAACCTAACATATAGATAGAGAGTCATTAAACTCTTTCTATATAGTCAAATTGAAATCATTTGAGGTATTGTTCAGCTGTGGAAAGACCTGGCATCTTTGAGTAAAATATTAACAAGAGAGGGAAAAGGGAAATAAAATATTAATTTTAATAAGCAGCAGAAAATTAATAAAGCCTTATACAAAAATACTCATCAGCTTGTATAACTCTCATTGTGTTATATCTTTTCAGTTCAAAATTGTATTTGCTTAGATGGTTTAAGTGTGTGTAGTGTATAACATTTGTAATGACAAAATTATCAAAAAAAAAGGCGTAGTTAAAGCAATAAAAACAAATATAATTAAGAGAGACAAAACGAAAAATGAAAACTCTGGTAATTGGCAATACAAAATTAGGTTTTGGTTTGTTTAATGGCATATCAACACTTTATGGGTCATTTAATGCCGGAATTTAATTTTCTTGGGAAATTTTGGTAATTTTTTTTTTTACTACCAGAATATATTGCTCTATTTTTACTGTAAAACTGTATTTTTATACTTTCATAGTGGTTTATTTTTGTTTGGGGGATCACTATTTGTCCATAGCAGGGACCCTAACAGGTGCTATTACCTGAGGTCAGTGATGAACTGGGAACATCAGCAATTAAGAAGTGGTTCTATGATCCTCAAAATCCCCACCCCTTACTACTGGATATAGTTTACTATCATACCCAGGATGCACAAAATTAGGTTTTTTATTGATTTCTTTTTTTTTTATGGCTTATCAATCTTTTACAGGTTATTTAAAGCCAGAAAATATTTTTTGATTTTTAAGAATTTTTCGGAGATAATAATGATTTACTGATAGAAGTCCTAATAATTAACCCATAGTTGGGGGAAGAAGGAGTAGATTCATATCTTTCCAAAATGTTATATGTGCATAAATGATTATAACAATTCATTTTTTACAGCTTATCAACCCTTTGCAGATAATTTAAAGCTATCAAATATTTTTTTATTGTAAGAATCTTTTTTAAGATATTGATGCTTTAGCGATACAAGTCTTACAAATTAACCGATAGCTGGAGGGGAGAAGAGGTGGATTCAAAAGGGTATTTGTGTGTAAGTGAATATAATGACCCTAACTGGAATTGGAACTCAACCCTCTGATTTCCAATTCTGAATCATTATTTATCACACCACCTGGATATCCAAGCTTACAGCACATTCCCAAGTGGTCACCCATCTAGGTACTGACCACGCTCAACATTGCTTAACTTTGGTGATCAAAAGGTAAAAAAAAAAGAAAGACAGAAGCTAATAAAAATCATATAGACAAAATCAGATAACTGGTGAGCCCATTCTTTATTAATTTTTCCTCCCTTTTTTCTTTTTTGCTTCTAACTTTATATTGCCTTCTACCATAGTTTTCCCTGCTGTTCCTTTTAATTATGTCTGTTTTTATTGCCCCAAATTTTGTATCTCTAATAAGATCTTCAAAATTTGAACATTTTTACTTTAATATTGCCATGGTGTAAGGCTTTTAAATATTCAAATGTCATGTTGTTAAGTGTTTTTAGAGTAAAACAAATTTTAAATTTGTTTGAAGCCTATGATTAGTAATTTTTATGTAGATTATATAAATATAATATGTCAATAATTCATTAGATTTATCTGAAACTTTGAAGTTGGTCACAAGATAAGTCTTTTGAACTTTTATTAATATATTAATTATTATTGTTCTAAATCTTTATTGAGTACTCTCTTTGGAAAAATCTGCTCACCTTTAAATATGATAAATGTTATGTATTTTGAAAAGAGTCTGTCTCTGGATGCTTCAGATGTGTTTATCATTTTTCTTTATTTAAGAGATTGTTTTTTTTTTTTTGTTTTTTTTAATTTTTGGTGGTGGTGGTGGTGGTGGGGTTCAACTTGCATCCAGATGTTTTCTTCTTGCCCAGCCAACGCTAAACAGAGCTAGTCAAACGTTCCAATGCTATCATTGAACTGGCAGAATGAACAAACCATAGAGGATTTTGCCTGCAGCTTCAACAGCCTTAAAGCTTTCTTTGGGAGGAAGCACGGTGTCTGTTTTCTCAACATTGCTGAGGTCATAGCCAAGACAATAGAGGAAGTCCAGAGCCTGGTCATATTCCAGAAGCGGCATCATTGAGTTCTTCTCAATTGGCTTTTGAGTCAAAGTGTCTCTGAACTGTAAATAAAGAGAAAAAGCCATTATTTATTGAAAACATATATTAAACTCAACAAATTACATTTTAGAAATGTAGAAAAAAAAAATGATGATGGGGGGGTCCAAAAAGGTAGCGCATAGCTCGCCAGAAGGCCAGCTATTTTTCTTCTTCTTCGGTCACCTAAAGGAAATGGATTGCATGGCTCACTTTCTCGGCTGTTATACTGGGCAGTTGTGAAACAGGCACCAACTCAGCCACCCCTACTTCGACTTCTTTGACTGTCTGTCAGTCTGTATGTCCAACTCTAACACATGCAGTCTGACGAATGACTTTTCACTCTTGGTGCTGCTGGCACTCCACTTTTTATGCTATTCCAAGATGGCCAAAATTTGCATGTGTGCAAATATTAATATTATTTAATTTTGGTGAGAAAGGCACACATAAATTGTGTCTTCAATAGCGGCCATATTTCTTTTTTGTCATCACTTTGCAGGCAAGACACATTCACGTTCATTACAAATTCCAAGGTAAGTCATGTCTTTCGTTACAAGAGATTATTATTTCAAAGCCAATATGCATATTATTTCAAAGTAAATAAATGTAGCTTCTCTGTACGTTTTCTATAATTATTATCATAATCTTTATTAATAACCTTCCTGATGACATCAGGTCTCAACTTGGCATCTATGCTAATGACACTGCTATTTATTCTTGCCTTGATACTAAGGCTGATCAGTCTAATAAGGTCAAAATGGCATCTGATTTACAAAATGACCTCAAGACCATCCTTAACTGGGGCAAAAGATGGATTGTCAATTCTAACAACTCCAAAACTAAACTTCTTTCCATTAATCATCTGAGAGACTCCTCTCTGCATTCCATCAATATGACTGATGCTAACCTCCAGGAAAGTGACCCGTTGCACCTTCTCAGGATAATGTTCACAGCTGACATAAAGTGGAAAGGTTGTATTGAATCCATTGCTAGATCAGCTGCTAAGAAAGTCAGTGAGACAACTTTTTTTCTCCAGAATCTATATTGCATATCTGTATGTCTACCATTCATCCATGCTCAGAATATTGCTACCATATGGTCCAGTGCTCCTGCTATTTACCTGGAGTTCTGTGATAAGATCCAAAAATAATCAGCAATAATAATGGCTCTGATCTGGTGGCTTCTCTTCAGTCACTTGCCCACCACCATAAGTTTGCCTCTGTGCCTGTTTTATAAATACTTTCATGGTAGCTGTTCAGATGAGCTCTTCGCTATGGTACCAAGACTTTTATGAATTTAAGCACAATACTAGACTGGTGCCAAGATCTTATCAATTTACAGTTGAGCTGCTCCAGATGTTGCCATAAATTCTATGCTAACAGTTTCTATCACTATCTACTGTCCTCCTGATTGTTCTTTTCTCATTTCTACTCATTACTGATGTTTCTGTTCCTAATTCCTCGACACTCTGTAACTCCATCCATATTAGTAGCTGTATTTCTTTGCTTGGAGAGATACTAATTAAAAAAAAAGTTCTTATGAGCTTTCATGTTTGGTATTATATTTATTCTACATATTTATTGGGTTTTCATTTTTAAATATTGTTATTTTTATTCCCCACCACTCTCACCAGACAAACTCTACATATGGGAACTAATTAGGATTACATAGAGACTCTGAGGTATTATGGTGACTGTAGTAAGAATGGTAAGTAACAATGTGTTGTTTTGGTGTAAGGAATATTGTATTATGTTTTGGTCAGTAATTATGGCTAGCTAAGTTTAAGATAAGACAGACTGAAGACCAGTCTTCCCATATTCTTTTGGCCTTGTACTAAATTTTTGTATTAAAACAAAATAAATATTGCTTTCCTATTTGGTACCTTGATCTTATGAATTTAAGTTATGATTGGTACCTAGGTCACATCATTTAACAGTTGATCTTCTAGCTTTCTACCCTACTTGGAACTTCAAAAATTTAAATGCAATATCAATTATCTTCTGCCTTCTTAATTCCTGTTATTTTAGTGTTCTTTCTCCTTAATAATGTTTTCTTTTCCTTATAGTCTTTCACACTCATTAGCCCCCTTGTGTCTTAGTGGCTTTATTGCCTTGTTTTGACTGAAATCATAAAACAAAATCTATTATTTCAAAGTAAATACTTTAGAATAAATATATATATTATCTGAAATACATATATAAAACAAAGATGGATATTATTTCCAAAAAAAAATGCATATATAATTAGTAGAAACAAGAATATTTTTTAGCGCGCCCATATCGCTACTGAATGTGATACAAGGTTGAGGTTTAAAGTGGGTTTAACACAATACCATGGAAAAAATTGCCCAAGTCCCCTCAGAAATTCCCTTTTGCGGGTTGTGTCAGGTTCCAGGCAAGAAACCCAGCCCCCTCTCAAAGGAGAGGTACAGCCTGGGAGAAAGGGTCCCTGGGGCTTGGGCTCAATATTTTTAAAACTTCCCTGAAACAAGAAGTCAAATCATTTTTTTTTTTGGTAATTTTAATAATAATAATAACTAGTTTACTTATCAAAAAAAAAGTTATATACCACATGGCACCATATGATCACATCAGTAGAGTTCCAATTGGTTTGATCTCTTCTGAGAGTAGGCTCTGGAACTAAGTTCAACTCAAACAGCCTCTTCCCTGTGAACCATTGCCCTGTGGAACAGACTCTCAAGAGGATGTTTCCCTGATCACTACAACCTTAACTTGTTCAAAGCTAGAGTCAGCCATTATCTTACACTCCTATCCACACAAATTGCCTCTTAACATAACCCTCTACCTTGAGTGGCCATCGAGCCTTGTAAAGAGTGAACTTTACTGTAAAAAAAGAAAGAAATGCAAGACTTTGCTTTTTCTTCCACAATTTACTTACCACTTTCAGAAAACAAGGAACCAAATGAGGTCTGAAAGCACAGTACTTGATGGCATTAATTTCTTCGTCAGACATGAAAGACATTAATTCCAAGTAGTACAAGACGCATCCCAACATGTCCTTGTCCACGTTACAGGCTTCAATAGCTTCACCATACTAAAAAGAAACAGAAACAAGTTAGTTTCAAACAAATATACAATCTGAAAATGTCAAATTAAACTTTCTTTTTCTATGTATCTTGTCCCTTCAGAAAGTGGGTGATTATGGCTCTCCATAATTTCCTCTTCTTTATAACTCTTAGTAAGGTTTGTTGTTTTGCTATCTCTCTTACTCTTTGTCTTGACAACCAATTACACAAGCTCATTAAGTAGGTTATTCTCTACTTTCCTCTGATCAGCTTGCCTTCAATAAGTCCTGTGAGTGTCAAATTTTTCAAGCCTGCTTTCCTCAATATATTTTCTAGAAATTTCAATTGTTTCTTTTGAATTCTAAGTACAAGGTTCTATTTCTGTTTCCATTACCCCTAAATGTTCCTCATTATATGTTCCGTCCATGGGATTTTCAGCATTCTGGTGCCTCAAGTCCCTCTTTCATCTGTGATCAGATTGTCCAACAGTCATTGCCATATAGGAAGACCAATATTACATAAGAGTTCAGTACTCTTTTCTTTGTTTCTAACAAAATTTTCTTGTTTGTTAATACTTTGCTTGGCTTTTGAAAGACTTCTTTCACTATTCCAAAGCACCTTCAGGATTTTGTGTCACATTTTCTGTTTTCTGCTAAAGCAATTAAGTCTAAATTACTAAATTAATTTTCTCAGAGTTTTCATAACAGTATAGTAAAATATTTGTCCCTAGTAAAAATCTTTAATGCCCTTGGGACAGGCATGAAACCATCAGTTCTACTCCAAGCTATAGGTTAAATAGCAGGATAGCCTGGTCTCTTTAGTCCTGAGTGGTAAACTGTCTAAGGAAAACTGAATTCCAAACCATGAAGAAGGCAACAAACGAAGTCTTGAGATTCTCGGCAAAATCTAAAGGATCTGTAATATTATCAGTCCTGATCTGGCATCTCAACATTATTCACTTTCTCACCATTGTGACATGGCTTCCCTGTGTCTTTTCTATAAATATTTTCATAGCAATTATTTTTATGAGCTTTCCTCCTTGGTACCTCAGCTGCATGAATTTAAGCATACCGCTAGATTGTAAACTACATGTCATCATTTTAGTGTTGAAAAAGCTAGATGTAACCATAATTTTGATCGTAATAATTTCTTTTCTCACACTTCTTATTTGTGGAACTTGCTTCTAGTTTCTTGTTTTTCTGTCAACTATGGTCTTCAAAAGTTTAAATGCAATGTCAATTGCTGTCTTCTGTCTTCCTGAAAATTGTCTAGTCCAACACAGTGAACCAACTTTCTTCACAGCTGACCTAGCAATGGATTTAATAAAGTATTTCCACTTCATATCAGCTGAAAACATTAACCTCAGAAAGCCCAATGGGTCACTTTTCTGAAGGTTAACATCAGCCATGTGGATGGAAGGTAGAAAGGGGTCTCTCAGATGATTCATAGAGAGCAGTTTCATTTTGGAGGTGTTAAAATTAACAACCCATCCTTTGCTACAGTTAACAACAGACTGAAGTTCATTTCAAACACCAACTGTCAATCTGACCTTATCAAACAGATCAGATCAGACGTACTCTCAAGACAGGAGTAAATGGTTGTCATCAGAGTAATTACAAAGTTGAGAGCTGACGCCATTGTGAAGGTGATTAATAAAAATTAAAAACAAAGTAGGTCCAAGGATATAGCTCTGGGGGACACCTGCATTAGTCTGTGTTTTTTATTCTAACAAATAATTCGGATTCATTGTAATTGTGAAATTTTACTTCCTATTTTCATCCAATTTCATTGTTGTAAATTGTGTTAATTTGTTCACACATTTTTCTGTCTCAGAAAAACTTGTGACTTTTCTTTTCCTTTCACAATTTTGTGTCATGATAATTTTTATATGTCCTTTATCACACATCTGTTTTATTATAACTGTGTCTTTTTTTCTTGGCAAAATTTTGCATCATGGTAAATTTGATGTCACAAGTTTTGATCACATTATAGTTGTGGCTCTTCTTTTCAAAATTTTGTGTCATAATAAATTTTATATGTCCTCTCTATAACATATTTAAGTCTAATTATAACTGTGACATTTTTCTTTTCACAATTTTGTGACATGGTTATTTTTAAATATCACATTTTTCTGTTTCAATATAATTGTGACTTTTTCCTTTCACTATTTTGTGTCATGGTAACTTTTATATGTCCTCAAATACTACATTCCTGTGTCATTATAATTGTGACTTATCTTTTCCCAATAATTTTTTATGTTTTCTATCACACAATCATGTCACATTATAACTGTAACTTTTTCTTTTCTTTTTTCTTATATCACACATTCCTGTCTCATTACAATTGTGACATTTTTTCTTTCACAATAATTTTTTTATGCCCTCTATCACACAATCCGTTCACATTACAATTGTGCCTCTTCTTTTCACAATTTTTATGCCCTTTATCACACATTTCTGTCACATTATAATTGTGACTTTTTACTTTTATTTTTGTATTTCCACATTTTCTTATAATTTTGCTTCATGTTAATTGTGGCATTTTTGTTTTCCTCTAAAAACATACTGTCATGCCTCAATAGTATTCAAAAGCATCTACACGGCCTTGTGGGTGATGAGTTATTTCCCACCCTACAACCTCTTTCCCACAGACAAAATGTTACTAGTCTCTTGCTACTCTATTACTTTTGCCAGGATAAAGGTTCAAATAGGCTACATTGCTTAGTTTCACCAGTTCTGAACTTCATAACATGGACCCACCATTCCACATCGCCTTTGCAGTCCATTAATAAGAAGGAAGTTCCACTCAGAGAGTTTCTTCCTCCAGAACTGTTACTTTGTGGAAGACGCTCCTGAGAGAATGCTTTCCTGATCACTACAATCTTAGCCTCTTCAAGTTTAGGTTCAATCATCCTCATAATATTCACCTCTTACTTTCTCTCTTTATGCTGTTGCAACAACCTCATTCAATAACTCTACCTTGAATGACCCTTGGGTTTTTATTGAGTGAATAAGAAAATAAATTCCAATAGTTTAAAACCATATTTGTTATGCCAGTGTCATTGTGAACAAAGAACAATATAAGATAAGATTCCAATCAAATCTCTCCTTAAAAAATGGTTCTCGTTCCATCACCAAGGGTAAGTAGCATTGATCCAGGTCAGTACTTAGATGTGGGGCTGCTTTGGAACACTAGGTACTGTAAGCAACCTCCTATAATCTGAAATATGTTTTTGCTTTAAATAACAAAAGGTTGATAGATTGTAAAAAATGATGCAATCAAATCTTGTTTTTAGGAGAAATCCATGAGAAATAGTAACAGACAACACATACCTCAAAATTAACATTTATGAGTTTGAGAAACCTGTGAGTGGCTTGGAATCCATCATCTCCCACAAATCTCCAAAATTTGTCATCCCAAGGTTCTTTCTCTTCTTCATGAGAATGGATAACATGCAACTGAAAGAGAAATTAAAAAAAAAACAACAGTTTTTTAACATCTACCCAGAGTGATGAGGATCTTAATAATTTCTGTTTATTTATTTAATTCTATGCATACTCAGAAAAATACTGTCATTTAGGAAATATACAATTAACAGGTGCAAGAATGTCAATAAAAATTTAAATAATAACTCCCCAATGCATCAATTAGACACTGGTGATTCTTATATGGGGAGGTGATGAAAATAATACACAAAAGAAAAATGGAGAACCTTAACTCTTTCAATTCTGACTTATGGCCATATCATATTGAAACACTAGTTCTCGTATGATCACTGGAGTTAAGCAACATTGAACCTGGTCATTACCTACATGTTGTAAACTTGGATGTGTGGGTGGTGTAATGGACAATGGCTCAGAACTGGAAATCAGAAAGCCAAGTTCCAATTCCAAGTTCTTTGTATCCACTTGCATGCAAATACACCTTGGGAAAGTATCTGTCTATATTTCTGAGATGAGGTATTATGTACACTATTTACATTATTCAGATTATTGTCCTCATCTTTGTCGCCATGTTTATCACAATGTTTTGGCCATTGTATGCTCACTGGGTTAGACTGTTCTAGTTCCATGTGAGATGTCTAATGGATGTCAGTTATTTCCTGTTAATTCTCCACTCAAAGTTCTCCACTGCCTTAACCAGGTATTGAACTCACACTCTTTGGGTCCAGTCACTGGAACTAACTAACGCCTTTATCCACTGTGCCATATCTGGCTGAAGACATTAGATTTATAATACCCAGAAATTCATACGCAGATGTCCCCAAAGACACATGGCACAGTGGATAAAGGCACTATAGATCCAGTGACAAGACCAAAAGAGTGTGAGTTCAATACCTGGTTAAGGCAGTGGAGAACTTGGAGAGGGGAATTAACAGGAGATAACTGACATCCATTAGATATGGCATGTGGAACTAGAACAGTCTACCACAGCGAGTGAAATAAAGGGTTCAGTTTGACATTCCAACCACCTGAAGAAGGCGACAAAGATGAGGACAATAGTCCAAATAATGTAAATAGTATACCTTGGGAAGGGTATAAATCCAATGCTTATCCCAGCAACTATGGGTTATTTAGTATAAGTAAAAATCCTTATTATCTCCAAAAAATAAAAAGTCTTGTGCACAATATAATGTTTAGTAAAAAGGTTGAATAGTGGTAAGTCAATGACGAAAACAGTAAGAAGAGACTATGTAAAAGATGGAGAGATGAGATGAAGGGGTTTCATGGTAACACATGGTAGAGAGTAGCATATTTATAACTGGAATGCAAGGGAGTGAGAAAGGCCTTTGTCCAATACCTGATTTATATTCAAAATGGAAGCAGATGCATTGTTATTGAGAAATTATTTTTAAGTTAGGATTTGAGGACAATGATTAGATCCTTAAGCATTCTTCTTGGACATTGGTGATCATGGCTCATCACAATTTTATGTACTTTGTAGCACTTAATACATTTTGTCTTTTTGTTATCACTCTTGTGTTACTATCTGTTTACTCAATCTCACTTTCTAGATTTCTTTTCTTCTGTCCCTTTTGACCTTTATTTGTCCTGTGAGTATCACATTTTCTAATCCCTCTTTCCTCATTATGTTCCCTAGAAATTTCAAGTGTCTTTTCTTGAGGTTAAGTATTAGTATCCAGTCTGTTTCCATTTTCTTTAAAACTTCATCATTGCTCACATGTTCAGTCCATGGAATTCTCAGCATCCTTCTGTAAGACCACATTTCTGTTGCTTCATGTTTCTTCATCGTTTTTTGTTTAATCATTTCACCCCAAGCAAGGTAATAAAGCCAGTAAGATGCTGTGTGAAGTAATATGAGGAAAAGAAAAATGTTATTAAGGAGAGAGAACAATAATAAAAGAACTGGAATTAAGAAGACAGAAGATAATGATTAATATTGCATTTAAATTTTTGAAGCTCAAAGACAATAAAACCACAAGGATGCAAGGGGTTATTGAATGTTAGAGAATATGAGAAAAAATTCTATTAAGATCAAAGTTGAAATGAGAAGAGAGTTCCACCATCGAGAAGAGTGAGAAGAAACTGTTAGCATTGAATTTACAGTTACCTCTAGTCATTTCAATGGTAAAATGATGAGACCTAGCTGCCAATCTAGTGTTGCACTTAAATTCATAAAGTCTCTAGTTTGAATATGTTTCAGAAGATCTCAAATCAGTCTATGAGTTGATGCTGAAAAGAAGCTGTGAAAAAAAAAAAAAAAAAAAAAAACAAGTTATTTTTGGTTTGTTTTTTTTGTTTTTTTTATAAACCTTTATTTTCTTCCAAATTGTATTTCTGGTAATAATTTTCCTCCAAAAATTTATTGCTGGTATCAAAACCTATTTTTACACTTCCATAGTGTTTTGAACCCAGTTTGGGGGGTTAACTATTTGCCCATAGCTGGGACCCTAACAGGTGCTACCACTTCAGGTCAGGGTGGACCTGGGAACACCAGCAATTAAGAGGAGGTTCCATGTTTCTCAATACCTTCTGATCAGAGGACTTGCTGTTGGACGTAGTTTATTGTCTTACCCAGGATGCAGATGTAGTTTATTGTGTTACACAGGACTTTGGTTGATGCTGTTTAAGTACATAAAAGGACAAAGTTTCCTTCCTCTTCTGTGATCCAAGATGTAATTGTACATAGATGAGGACATCCCCATAGGGGTACATTCGTTTCCTTAGTCCTTTGATGACAGAACTCTCTTTCCAATGCATAGTGTTTGCATGTGTATTCCATAACCTCCACCTACAGTCAACAACAAAATTATTTGTTCACCCATCAATTTTGAATATTTTTATCCATTTCTCAGAATCTGTCAAATTTGTATTTCACTGATTGTTCTGCTAAGAATACAAGACTCTCCCAATGTATTGAGCCCTCTAGGTCACTGGCATGTTTATGAAAAAATAAATACACAAATATTTGCCTTTTGCTCTGCTGAGTGTCGATAGCCTAAGTGTTAGAATCTCTGACTGATTCCTAATTGGTTGGGTTTTGGTCCCAGCTTGAAGTGATCAGATGTCCAGCCACACTGAAGAGCTGTGATACAGTGAAACAGTTTGTCTGTGAATGATGATATTAGCTCCCAAAAATAAACTAATTCGGTCAAGCACTGTGGGGAAAAAAGTATGTATTTGTAAACAGTGACTATTACTGCTAATAATGTAAGACTCTCCCAATGGATTGAATCCTCTAGGTCACTGGCATGTTTATGATAAAAATAAATACACAAAAATTCACCTTTCTCTCTGCCTAGGGGTTAGAATCTCCAACTGATTCCAAATTGGTCGGGTTTCGGTCTTGGATTGAAGCAATCGGATTTCTAGCCACACTGAGGAGGCGTGATACAACAAAACAGTCTGTCTGTGGATGACGGTATATATATATATATATATATATATATATATATATATATATATATATAGTGAGAAGACTGTGTGAATTGTAAAGGATAATCTTTCAGATTCCCATTCTAATGAAGATGTGAAGAACTGGGTAAAGTAAGATGAAAGTAAATACTAGTCAAAAAATTAATAATAATAGTTGACAATACTTCATCTGACAGAAAATCAAGATGAAAGTAAATACTAGTAAAACTTTTCTTTAATGAAAATAAACTTGGCAATATATTTCTTTTTACTTAAGTCTTCATTTTGCTTGTTGATTTCTCTCATACAATATCTAACAAAAGTCAATGTTCTATTAATTGTTTGAATTGTGCAACATGGAATCTTAAATCTCTGACATTAGAAGAGAAGAATCATTAGGCACCTTTACAAATGTTCATTTATGAAAAACACTATTTATACTATTCACATGCAGACGAGTGTCCTTATCTTTATTGTTGTTATCACAAGAATGAAAACTAATGAAGGTTTTAGAATATCAAAGAACCTATATTAACATGTGAAAAAATGTATTATCTCTGCCATGTTTATTTAGACTGTGGGGTTTTCCCTTACTAATACTGTTTTGTTTAGTTGTGTAAATATTGTTATATCATGAACATTGGATTTTATCAATCCAGCCCTCCACAAAGAGATTGTACATATGGGATTAGATGAAGGTTCTTAGAGCAAATATTGCATTATGATGTGAGACAGTGTTGTGTAGATGAAATGTTTTAGTGAAAGGAACAATAGATGAAAGAGTTTGTCAGTGATTGAGGCTAGTTAAGTTATCGATAGGACAAGTGAGGACTAGCCTCCTCCATTACACATTTTGCACTTGTGGCTTATTTGTACATTTGTAAAAGAAATATCCAGGCGTTCAGCTATACAGTCGAACTCTCTGCCTTTGAGCAGAGAGGAACCTGGACAAGGCTATTCCAAAGGCAGAGTCTTGTTCAGGGAGGTAGACCAACCCGATCCCATTTATGCGGGTTCTATGGGGATTTTTTGACCAAGACTATGGGCTCGGATGACCCACGTTAAACTCGGCCTTGTACCACATCTACCCTCTTTTTGGGGAGGCTAGTAAATATTGTCCAGATGACGAGGATCAAAGTGCTGTTTCAGTTTCAGCCAGTAAAACCACGGCTCTAACCGTTCCAGCATTATCAACTCCAACTCGCTATCAACTCATCTACAGCAAACTTCAAATCTGTGCCATCCTCAAATAAAAAAAAATTAAAATGTAAGGGGAATAATTCATGTAAAAATTACAGCAGTTATTTCCCTTGTCCAGTAAAGCCCGCTGCTTAAAATTCATTCACCCGACTTCTAACAAATAATGGAGTAAATATAATTTTACATGCACAAAATAAACCTTCTCAGGACAATACTCTTTAACACTCTTCACACTCTCTACATGAACATAAAGAGATATTTTTTTATTTAGTGCACTGTAACCTTATTTTTGTCGATATATTTTCTTTAAGAAAAACAAACTTCGTACTAGATTCTTTTTTTTTACTCAAGACTTCATTTTGTTTATTATTATCTTTTGTTATTCAACAGTCGAAATAATATTTACTTACAATATGGACAAGTCGTTCCATAAGAATAGGGAAGTTGAGGCATTCTGCAAAAGCTTCCTGAACTTCTCGCTTATCTTTCACCATGGCAACTTCTTCTGGAGGGTAAAACAAAGCTGAAAAACATGGAATTGAAATCGTAACAATCAATTTCAATGAAGCGAAAACATTTCTGAGAATTTTATTTGCATATAAAACGTTTTAAATTTACCCCAATACAAAACAATAATGCAAATTTGAATGAAAATAATTTCTACTAAAAATAACAATGTTTGCATTAAAAGGTCTGTAAAATTGTCACTCCTGACTAGACATCTCAGTCACTTTCTCACCGATGTGATGTCATTTCCCTTTGCTTTTTCTACAAATATACTCCTGTCAACAGTTCTGATTAGATTTTTCCCTGCTGCCTCGACTACACAAATTTAAGTGTGCTACTAAATTGGCAACTAGGTCTAATCATTTTATTGTTGAACTAGGAAGATGAAAACACCTCTTTTTCTCTAACAGTTTCTTTTCTCACATTCCCCACTCATGGAATTAGCAATTTCTTGTTTATCTGATAACTACAATCTTCAAAAATTTAAGTGGAATGTCAATCGCCATCTTGTATTTTCTTGAATCCTGTTCATACTTTGTCCTTTCCTCAATCCTTCCCATTCTGTTTCACTCCCTGTAGCCCCCTGCGTTCTAGTGGCATTATTGCATTGGCTGGGGGTGAAACTATTAAAAAAACTAATTTTTTTTTTAAATTCTGAGAAATTAAAAAATTAAATACAATGTGTGAAGTATTTCTAACAAAAATAAAACATATATGGTTGAATATGACAAAAATGAAATTATATTTTATCTAAACTTTAAATAGCAAAAATCTGTATTGAAGAAAAAAAAGATTATAAAATGATTGATTCAGATTTTAAATTAAAAAAAAAATATGTGCCAGTTCTATAAACAAATCAAAAGTCAGATTTTTTTTCCCTTGATCTGCAACAATTTTTGTCCAATAAAAAAGACAGGATTCTATAAGTTAGTTACAAACTTCCTGTTTCCTTGTCTTTGCAGCATGAATTTTTACTTTGTTGATCTATATACAATTACAGTGATTTTTTTGTTGTTTTGCTTATATATATATATATATATATATATATATATATATATATATATGTATGTATATATCAAATATGTGATGCAGTTCAATTTATATTACAATAAATCATTCATACAAAAAGTAGATTAGTAAAGTTAATGATATAAAATGGTGAAATCCTTTCGCAAACAAAATTTTAAAGATGCATTAACCTACAAACCACTCGATGAATGTTATGATCCTTGTTTTTAATAACTACAAGCTATATAAGGTGTTTTTTTTTTAATCTGCAAGTACTTTCAACTGTACATTCAGTCATCCTCAGGCATGGAAATAATTTTGTTTTTATTAAAATCCAGGTAACATCAGAGACGAAAAAATTAAATGTGAATTGAAATGTTTTTTTTAGAAATGTGTTATTGTTAATGGATAAAATCTTTTGGAGCATGCAGTCGCAACGCTAAGGTTGAATTTTTTTCTTGAAAATTTAAGAGAGTGCATTTTTTACTAATATGGTAATTTGAGAATTTTTTGTTGTAAGAGTCAATGTGGCATGAAATAAGTTGTTCAATAAATAGAGTAATTTCTCAGTTGCTATCCTGAAAATTTGCACATTGGATCAGTTCTTTTAAATCAAATATGTGATGCAGTTCAATTTATATTACAATGAATCATTCATACAAAATGTAGATTAGTAATGTTAATGATATAAAATTTGTAAATAATTTATATATATATATATATATATATATATATATATATATATATATATATATATATATACACACATGCACATACCCAAATTATTTACTATATAATGCCAAATGCAAAGCCTACAAAATATAAAAATCTACAGAAAATAACACTTCCCACAATCCTGACAAAATTAGACACATAATTCAACCTACCAACTCCATAGCAGACACCATAAAAGATAACTTCAACCTTGACCTAAAATAACCAAAACAACATGACTGGGGAAGGAATATACAAAATGAATTACATAAAATGCCCAATGATATGCATCAGTAAACTCTCTAGGAATCTAAAAAAAAAAAAGACTATATGAGCATTACAAGGATATGCTGCATAAAACTTTAAACACCTGATTGTTCAGCCTCTGCAATCTGGCTACAATTTTGACTTAATAAATGCCAATCTGATTAGGAGAGAAAAAAATTCATTAAGAAAAAAATGTATTGAGAATCTGCTAATTTCACAGTTTCCAATAATAAATCTAAGACAAGGTTCATACATAATATCACCGATTATTGCAAAAGTAATGTGGTATGCAACTAGCATAGAGAATAATCTGCTTTGAGTGGACTAGTTTTGACTTCAACAGAGATTAGCAGCTTTAATACAAAAAAAAAAAAAATAAAAAAAAAAAAAACAGTTTTGTTTTTTTATTCTGACTGGAAGATAACAACCTAACAAATGGATATTAACAGTTTTAATAAAAAAAAAAAATGCAAACAAAGATTTGACTTTTATTCTGATCTGAACATGCCTACGTAAATACCTATGGGAAATGCATTGACAAAAAAGTTTTTTCCACTTTGTCTGAATATATAAATGCCTTACATGGTCTTAATGTAAAGTTAACTAGTTTCTATTCATCCTACCTGTGACAAAGTGCAAATAGAAGCTTGACATAAACTTCCCCTCCATTGTTGCTTGACTATTACTTCCTATCCATAGAAACACTGCCTTTTACCAATTTGTTATTTCATTAATAATTTTTGTCTATCCAAAGGCCACAGAAAATTAATATTTGACTGCAGGAATCAGAGCAACAAAACAGAGTGATAACTGGTTTCATACAACAACAATAACTTTGTTTCAAAACTTTAGAATGTGAAAAATACTAAGAAAAAAAATGAACCTTTCATATCAACCAAATTCATAGATTACAGAAAATAAAATTTTATTTTTCGTCACTGAAAAACAAAAGTAGATAAACGTTCAAGGATTATATCATGCATTACAATTACAATTCCCGTGTCAACAATTCATTGCCAATATACGCCTCATCAGAGTTTTTATTGATATGTATCATTAAATAAATAACTTCAAAATACGAATTTATATTTTAGTCGCGTTAAAATGTAAGGGGGATAATTCCTGGGAAAATAGTTATTTCCCTTGTCAAGTAAAGCCCATTGAATAAGATTCATTTTACGACTTGTTTTCTAACAAATATTGGAGTAAATATAATTTTAGATGCACAAACAAAAATAATTAACAATCATGAATATTCGTAAAAACGGCAAAAAAAAAAAAAAACATAAAATTTTACATAAGGCAATTATTTTTAATTTTGTATGATTAATTTTAATTTATATGTCCACAATGTTGACCCCAGTGTACATTGTCTCATCTGAGAATTAGTAAAATACAATAAAACATTAAACAGATAAGGCTTTATTAATTGAATTTAACAAAACTTCTTGGATATATATCTTAAATAAGAAAATTTTCATGTTGGTAGGTATTAATTTTATGGTTTAAAAAACACACATGTCAACTCAAAGACTCTAAATAGAAATATAATATTTATAGTCATAAGAAATAAAGTCATATTAAAAATCCATTACTTGCTTAAAAACATATATATATATATATATATATATATATATATATATATATATATATATAAAATGTAAAAGACAATAGGAAAACTGTAATGTAGCCGCCGTGTTTCATCCAATGTGGACTTTTTGAAGGCAAAAATCGAAATGAATTTATTAAACAAAGTAACTAATAATGACAAAACAAAATGTCCTTAGCAACTGGAAGAATTTAGATGATGCTATTGTCAATTACTGTCATGTGTGGAGATATTGTTTTTATTGTTGTGTTGATGGATTCAACCATTTTCTTTTGATTTCACGATACTGTTGTGTATGTTTGTTTGGGAGAGTAGTAATCCTGTTAAGAAAGGTGAAATAGGGAAAAAAGTTCACATTGGATGAAACGTGTCAGCTATGATTACAGTTTTCCTATTGACTTTTATATTTATAAATATTGTCTTTTTCTATAGGTTAACTCTGAGAAATTTTTCATATATATATATATATATATATATATTAGTGAGAAGACTGTGTGAATTGAAAAGGATAAGCTTTCAGATTCCCATTGTTTACTCTATTATAGATTTGAAGAACTAGGTAAAGTAAGATGAAAGAAAATACTAGTCGAAAATTAATAATCGTTGACAATGCTTCATCTAATAAAAAATGAAGGTAAGTACGAGTCAAAAATTAATAATAATGACTGGCAATGCTTGAACGAATAAAAAATGAAGATAAAAGTAAATACTAGTCAAAAAATAATAATGGTTAACAATGCTTCATCTAAAATAAATTTCTTGGTAGACTGCAGGAACTATTCCTTGCAAAGAAAAATAAAAATAATTCTGGGAAGATGGAATTATGAAATTTCATGAAAGATAGCAAATGATAACAGAAAGAAAACACATCTACATTGCTTGATATGTAAGAACCAACTCCCCAAAAACCCTTTCTCTATTTATTGTTATGCTGGCTTAGCCAATCAAAATTGACTTTCTTGTTTTGTCTTCCATCTGACCACAAAGGTCAACCTCTGGAAGTCTGAGCTGAGATACCATTGCACCTAAAAATAATATTCTGCTAAGCTATTGTTTAACATAAGAGAAGATAATGATTGACATTGCATTTAAATTTTTGAAGATCAAAGTTGACAGGAAAGCAAAAAGACAGAAGAGAGTTCTACAAGCAAGACTGATTAATTGATTTGTTTTCTTTGGTTTATTAACATTTTGAAAACTATTAAAAGCCAGAAAATATTTTTAAATCGTAAGAATTTTTTTTTTTAGATAATGTTATGTAGGAATAAAGTGTCGCTACCAACACTTAAGTTTGAACATAGATCACCAGTGAGCAAACACAGGTGATCCCATTATTGAATTAAGTAGACCATGTGGCCATAGAGGAAATGCATATATGGGAGGTAACATGTGTCTAATTGATTGCATTTCTATTCTATCCTCTATATTATATGGATCGCATTTCTATTCTATCCTATATTACTATACGGATCGTTATCCTCTATACTATTCTCTATTAATATACAGATCACTTCTCTATACTATTTCTATACTGATCACTATATGGATCATTATCCCCTATACTATTCACTATACTATTTCTCTATACTGATCACTATTTGGATCACTATTAGGTGGTTATTGTTCAAGTGAGTGTTATCGAGCAAGTACTATTAGTGTGAGTGATAGTTGAAGGCATCTGACATCAGTATTGTTCAATACTATTGTTATTGTAGTTGTATCAGTGATTACAAAGTCTCTAATACAATGAGTATTACAAAAGTGACAATGAGTATTCATTGACATCACAAAAGATAATTGTCTAGTGATACAAGTCTTAGTAATTAACTCATAGCTGGGGGGAGAAGAGGTGGATTCATACCTTTCCCAAAGGTATTTCAACCTAAGTGAATCTAATGAACCCAACATGAATTGGAACTCAGCTCTCTGATTAACAATTTGTAGCTAAATGAATGAAAATAAGATTTTAAAGAATTTACTTACATTTGTCCTTCTCTTTTACAGGAAGTGAGTCAGGTATGTCAAATCCACCTTTGTCTTCGTCAATCAGGCACACACCAATGCTGCCATCAGGTCGAATCTTCAGTTCCACTACATGATAGGCAAGATTTGTCTTGGCTGGAATCTCTACCTTATAGTTATCATCTTTGCCTACGTTCTCCTCCATATCAATGTCTGCAATCTCTTTTTTCTATGATGGAAAGAGAAGAAAAATAAGTGTATAGAAGACAAATGACATTTTGAATTAGGAATACTAAGAGTTACAAAAGATAGGAAGTAGTGGAGAGCCATGACAATCCACGTCCTTAAAGGACACAACATATATGGAAGATGAAAAAGAATAGTTGTAGAATTAACAAAACTCAATCCTTCATTATTCACAAGGATGCAGAAGTGAGACCGAGAGAAATGGCAGAAAGACAAACCTTAGTAAGAGCTACAAAGGATAGGAAGTAGTGGAGAGCCATGACAATCCACGTCCTGAAATGATACAACTTATATGGAAAATGAAGAAAAATATTTATAGAATAAACAAAACTCAATCATTGATCATTCACAAGGATGCAGATCTGAGACTGAGAGGAATGGTAGAAAAACAAAACAGTAAGAGCTATAGATAAGAAGTAGTGGAGAGCCATGCCCGCCTTCGTCCTGAAAAGACCTTGTACAAAGAAGACAAAGGGGAATAGCTGTAGAATTAAGAAAGCTCAATCATTCATTATTCACAAGGTGGCAAGAAAAAGACTGGAGAGATGGGGAAAAGACAACTTACTAAGAGCTACAAACGATAGGAAGTTGTGGAGTGCCACAACCGCCTATGTCCTGAAGAGACATGGCATATAGAAGATGAAGAAGAATAGTTGTAGAATTAATTCTCAATTATTATTCACAAGGTGGAAGAGAAGTGACTGGGAGGGATGGTGAAAAGACAAACCTTACTAAGAGCTACAAAAAATAGGAAGTAATGGAGAGCCATGTACGCCTATAACATGAAGGAAAATGGCACATGAAAGAATATTTGTATAATTAAAACCCATAGATTAGTGAAAAATAAACCTTACTAAGAGCTATAAAAGTTAGGATGTTGTGAAGAGCTATGTCACCCAGATCCTGATGTGACATGACATGCTTGTAAAGAGTTAAAAAGGATAGAAAGTTATGAGATCCATGAATATTCATGTCCTGAAGAAACAAGGTACATAGAAGATGATGAAGAATAGTCTTAGAATTTGATACAGTCAGTAGTAGAAATGTTATGAGAATGGATAATAATGTACTTATTCTTGCATGCAACACAGCAATTATTAGTAAAGATTTAATTTCACTTGTCATTTGTTATTGGTAATTACCTTATCACAATTACACTACAATCTGATTACTCGAGTAGAGTGGGTAAGCAAACTACTCGATTCATTCACTTATAAGTGGTTACCTTCTTGCACTTCCTCTAAAAACTGATTGCTGGAATATAGTGAGCATGAAAAATACTTCATTCAATTTCTTTTAATTGGTTCTTAACATTACTCTTAAAATCTCTTGACTTGATCAAAGTGAACCAGTAAACCACTCGATTCAGACTCTTAACTGATTGCCTTCATACCATTACCCTAAAAATTGATGAATTGAAAAAAAATGGGCATGGAAACTATTTGCTTCAATCCCATATAGGTAGGTGGTTATGTTCTTAAGAATATTCTATAAACTGATGAATCAAGCGAGTGGGCACAGAAATTATATAGAATATAATTCCATATAAGTGATTACTTTCTTACCATACTTCTAGAGCAGTGGTTTCCAATGGTGTGGCATGCCTAATAAGTGAGGTGGAATGATTGGAAGACAATCAAAGATTTAGAAACATTTTCAAAAAATTCATATGCCAAAAATAAATATGATTACAAAATTTAAAATATTATTATGGATTACTTGTAAATTGCATGCACGAGTCCCAGAATAAATAGTTATAAATAATTATTGACTGATTTTATCATTGTGATATTTTTACACTATATTAAGTATTAAGGATATAATAACTAGGATCTGAAAATTGGAGGAGAGAGTTATCAATGATAATGTTCTGACTTTGAATCTGTCACTTATTTTTATTCAGTTTATTTTTTATTTTAAGCTTTATCTTTTATTCTTACTTTTATTCGTGTGTGTATGTATAGGTAGTTAAAAATCCATGGGTAAGTAATCCAAGTGAACCCTAATAATATAAAATATTAAAACTGATCCACAAAAGAGAGCTTAATATATTTATTATAGAGCATATATATGAAATACATAAAAATGAAACTCAATTGTACCCCATTTATATGACCATTTTGCTCCTTAAGAGATTTCTCTCTTTGAGAAATTCCCTGAAGCTTGTCAATACTAAAACGTTTGATAAAAAAATGAATTGAAACGTTTTTTTTAAAAATTGAAAATTAAAAAAGATAGGAAGAAAGAAGGAAAAAAAAAACGCAAAGAAAAGAAAAGGCATTTAAGAGTGAGATAGAGAGAAAAAAAAAAGGAGGAAGGGAAAACCAAAGTAGTGAGGGGGAAAGTGGATGACAGATATATATATATATATATATATATATACAAATCAAGACAAAAGTTAAAAATGGTTAAAAATTAACAATGACCTATTTTTTTTAATTTTGAATTTAAAAAAAAAACAAAAAAACATTACAATTCATTTTTTATCAAACGTTTTAGTATTGACAAGCTCCAGGGAATTTCTTGAAGAGAGAAATCTCTTGAGGAGCAAACAAAATGGCCATATAAATGGGGTACAATTGAGTTTCATTTTTATGTAATTCACATATATATATATATATATACCTAAAGAGCCAGAACCTATCTACTTAGATTTCACCTACTGGATCATCAGGATAATTCTGATGATCGCGTAGGTAGATAGGTTGTCGCTCTTTAGGTATATTAATTTAGCTCTACTGAGTGTATTGAGCACTTTTATGTTCAGCTTAGATACTCTGTCAGTGTTTTTCTTTTTTTGTTTTTTTCTTTTGGCTAGGTGCTGGTTGATTTTTTTTATCAGATTTTTTTTCCCAAATATCAGTTTGTCTAATATTTTCTTATTTGTAAATTGTATTATCTGATTTTTTTCATACCACCAAAATTATAGTTTTAAAATAAAATATATATATTAGTTGAATAGTTTACACATATTATACCTATTTATTTTATTTAAATCCTCTCAAGTTCACGGATCAATTTCTTTGTGTCTGTACAAAATTGATCAAGAAAAAAAAATGTTAATTATCCATATTACATTGTTGATGAACAAATTAGATGAGCTATTAGAAATATTAACATAAATCGCAAAGAACATAATAAATCCATAATTATGTGATTGCCCACAAATAAACTGTATCGACATATAACAGCAAGTCATGAAAAACAGTGAAATATACGTATGTTTAGATAACGTCATTCTGTATATTGCTTTGTATATATTTTTTTATATTTTACACTGAGTACTGTATTTTTGTTTTCTTTATTACTGATTATATAAAATGATATATTTGTATGTCTCTTTGGTATTCCTTTTATTTTCTTCTTCCTGTGTTGCTTTACCTGCTTTATGGCAATGATTTTTTCTTTTCCTTTGCTTTTCATTTCTCTATTACATTTCTTTTAATATGCTTGTTTTTGGCTTTATTATTCTTAATATTTTATCTATAAAAGATATATATATAAACTAAAAAATGAAAAATATTCTTGTCATCTTTAATAAAACTTGTCTCAATAAAATACATATTGTATCTACTTTTATATATATTTATCTATATCTGAAGTGACAAAGGAGAAAGCCAAGTCTTAACTTTGAAAACAAATTTACATTCTCTGTTTTGTTTGTTGAAAAAGAAAATTACATCAAGTTTGGGTCTAGGAAGAAGTTAATTTTTTCACTTGCCTGTAAATTGGGGTAAAAAAAGCTGTGATTGGTTAAGACTAGTCTTGACCAATCACAGCCTTTCTTTCAATAAAAGAACACTACTTTGAATGATAGGAGTATTCAGAATTCTTTGTGGGTGAGAAAGATAGTTATAGGTTGCAAGTTAAGGATATAGATTTTGGACCCCAGTTTCTTTTTTACTTTGGACTGAATACTGACCTTTGGAATTATGTACATGGATTTCTGGTTTTTGGAATTACGACCACAGATTTCTGGCTTTTGGAATTATGACCATGGGTTTTTGGTTTTTGAAATTATGACCACGGATTTCTGGTTTTTGGAATTATGACCACGGGTTTCTGGTTTTTGGAATTATGACCACAGATTTCAGCTTTTTGGAATTATGACCATGGATTTCTGCTTTTTGGAATTATGACCATGGATTTCTGGTCTTTGAATTTACAAGCATGGATTTCTGATTTTTTGAACTGAACCACCTCACCCATTGCTATTTTTCCATTAATATTATATGAATAAACATATATACTTTATTTATTTACATTTTTCCAATGTTCTTAGTTTTATAAGGGTATGCTACTCTCACCAGCAACAAAAAAAGGATGTTATGGGGGATTATACTCACCAATATCCTAAAGAGACATGGATCAGAAAGAGAAATACAGAGTTACCTTCAGCACCCCTGTTTAATCATGAAGAGAAGCAAAACATTCAGATTACAAGAACAAGAAAACAAAAAGCAAATTTTATTGAATCAATTGCTACATCTGCTGCTAGGGAAATTGATTTACTGTGCCATGCTAGACATTTTTTCTCACCAGAATCAATTTTGTATATTTATAAATCTACCATTTGTCTGCATCCTGCTTTTGATCTATAAGCACAGTGAATGTGTGTCCATCCAGCCATCTGTTTTTTGATCTTGGTGAATCAAACAATCTGAATTAACAGGTAGTAAGTACTGTAGTTACATGTGATTAAAAATTAAATAAATAACTCATTTAAAGTTAAATTTAAATGTCGAACAGACTGAAAGGTTTAAAAATCAGTTCTTTGTTAAAGGTTTAACTTTAATTTCACTTTTCATCACACTTGCAATTGATATTGTCTAATTAAACTATAACTAAAACTTAGGTAGGGCATGGTATGTTGCTCATATAGCTTTTTTTTTTCTTTTTCTAGCAAGCATACTGTGTAGTATTTGAAATATTACATAGTTTAGGTTCCCTAATGTCTATAAAGAGTGACTTTATATGAAGGGATCATAAAGAATGATGATTTTAAAAGAAAATAAAAATTATGTGCAAAATAAATGTAAACAAGCTATGGAGATCAGTTATGTATATGAAGAAAGATTATGCCAAATTAGGTATCAAATAAAGTTAAAATAATTTTATTATTTCTAAATTCTTATAACTTTTGCATACATAGGATGCTGAAGGTAAAATGCCAAAGACCCAAAAGCACTGCACAGGAACAAGTCTAAAGTCCACTCACTCAAAGACAGGCTTCTAAGCTAATATCTCAATATTCTTGATATAAATCCAAAGAAGGATCTGTAATATTTTTAGTACTGACCTGGCATATTGGCTTCAGTTATTTTCCCATTATTGTGATGTGGCTTCCCTATACCTATTCTATAAATATTTTAATGGCAATTTTTTTAATGAACATTCCTCCTTGGTACGTCAACCACATGAATTTAGATGCAGTACTCAACTAGCAACTAGGTCACAATGTTATACTATTGAAATAGATGTAACTGTAAGTTCTATTCTGTTTATTTTCTCATGCTTCTTGCTAATGGAATTCTCTTCTGGTTTCTTGCTTTCTTGTCATTTACGATCTTCAAATGTTTATATGCAACATTGATCGTCATCTTCTGTCTTCCAGAATCCTGTTCTTTTATCTTTTCAGTAAAATTTTCTCATCTTCTTTTACACTGAGTAACCCCTTTCATCTCAGTGACTTTATTGCCTTGCTTGAGGAGATTTTAAATTTATTAAATTATATACATCATTATTTGTAATGGCTGGTTGCCACATATCAAATAACTCACACATTTATAAATCTATCAGTCATCCATGCATTGAATATTGCTTGAAAATCGGGTCTGGTGCTTCTGCTATGTATTTTAAAGATTCTCGATAAAATCCAACGAAGAATCTGCAATGTCATCAGTCCTGACCTGGTATCTCAGCTTTAACCATTTTACCACCACTATAACAAAACTTCCCTCTGCCTTTTCTATAAATATTTTCATGGCAACTGTTCTGATGAGCTTTTCTCTTTGGTACCTGGACTTTAAAAATTTAAGTGCAGTACTAGATTGGCAGATAGGTCACATCATTTTGCAGTTAAAATGGCTAGATGTAACCGTAATTTCTATGCTGATAGTTTCTACTCTCACATTTCTTGCTTGTGGAACTCTCTTCCAGTATCATGATTTTCAGTCAACTTTGATCTTGGTTCAATGTAACATGCTAGACAATTTTTCTCTCAAATAATCTATCTTATATATTTATAAGACTTCCATTAATCTACTGTTAATATGGCTCCCAAATCTGGTCAACTGCTCCTGCTATATATTTAGTAATTCTTAATAAAATCCAAAGAATAATTTGCAATGTCATTGTTTCTAACCTGGCATCTTGCCTTCAGTCACATTCCCACCGACATAATGAGGCTTTCCTGTGCCTTTTCTATAAATATTTTTCATGGTAATATAATATTATGTATGTATATATATATATATATATGTATATATATATATATATATATATATATACACATATATATATCAGAAAATTCCATATATTATAATATATATATAAGAAAATGCCATATAATACATAATTATATATATTATATATATATATATATATATAAATATGTAAAAGAAAAAGCCATCTTCTGACTGAGGTTTGAAATAAAGTATTATTGCCATATTTGGGCTAGTGCTATCTATTCCTCACTCACCTTCAGCTTTAAGAGAGTTCAAAATCGATTCCACAACCTTTTGGGTTATGAATTATTTTCTGTCATGCAACCCCGTTTCCACAGATGAAATACCGAGACTTTGTGAATTTAAGCGCAGTACTAGATTGGAGGCAAGGTCTCATCATTGTACACTTGAAATGGCTAGATGTAACTGTAAGTTCAGTTTCTTCTCTCGCACTTCTCACTTGTGGATCTTTTTTCTGGTTTCTTGCTTCCCAATCAACTTTGATCTTCAAAACTTTAAATGCAATGTCAATCATTATCTTCTGTCTTCTTAATTCTTGTTCTTTTATTATCCTCTCTCATTTACAGTAATTTTTCTCATACTCATTAACACAAAGTAACCCGTTGTATCTAAAGTGGATTTCCTGCTTTGTTTGAGGTGAAATGATTAAAAGAAACTCACCACATCAGCTTTTATTTTCCCTCCTTCAGTGAAGGTGCTTTGACGAACAAGAGTCACATTCTCCACTGGGTGAATTACACCTGACACCATGCACAGTACTTGGTGGGATTTCTTTCGGAGTTTTTTGATGATATCATTTTCCAAATCTAAATACCTAAGGAAAAAAAAAATGAACAAAAATTAAGACAATTAAAAAAAAAATAATTGACAAGGGACAAACTAATTTATAAATGACACAGGACAACAAACAAACATTATAGGGATTTACTCAAATATTCAGTCACACATTCTCTTCTCTGTCAACCATTGTCTCATCCTCAAGACAAATTTTGTCAAGATATTTCTAATTCAGTAGTAGTATAGACCAGACACTTTCACTCAGAGGTTCAATTACATTATAATGTAGATAAGTGCCAAGTTATAGATTAAAATATTTTTTATTCAAATAAGTTTTTTATGGTACAAAATTTAATGATAGCTATGAATAAGCAAAATTTATATGGCATTTTAAAAATCTAAAAAAATATTTTTGTCGGTTTTCATGAGGCTTCCTTATTTTCTTGTATTGGTCGTCCTCTTATGTATCATCGTTATGTGGATGATACCTTCTGCCTCTTTAACAATGAGGCTGAAGCCGACTTGTTTCTCACCAAATTAAACTGTCAATCCTGCTCTTAAGTTTACCGTAGAAAAGGAGTCCAATTCTTGTCTTTCCTTTTCGGATGTTCTTTTTCATAGAATTAGTGACAAGTTTATGACTTCTGTATTTAGGAAAGCTACTTTCTCAGGTCTTTATACACATTGGGACTCTTTTTGTCCCAGACAACGAAAAGTTAATTTGATTACGACCCTAATTTATAGGGCACTTATGATTTGTTTTGATAGCTTTCTCTGCAGTGAAATTGATTTTATTAAGATGACTTTCAAAAAATGGATATCCTTTGGATGTTTTGGACTCCATTATCCATGATGTCATCAATAAATTTCATAGGGTTAAGCCTCATTTTGTTAAAAAAATGTCCAGTTTATTTGCATCTTCCCTTTATTGGTTCAGAGGGTGAGTTTTTATCTAGACAAATTTCACGTACGATTAATTAATAGCTGTTATTTTTCGGCTAATGTTCAGGTAATATTTGTTACCCGTCCTGTTTTCTCTTCCATTCATAAGGATGTCCTCCCCACACCCATCATGTTAATTCAGTGATTTATAAATATAAGTGTAGTTGTGGACTCAACTACATAGGGAGGACGTCCCAACATTTGGATTTGAGAATAACCCCCCCCCCACCAGGATTTTTAATCTGGATGCTAGGTAAAGCCAACTAACCAAAACTTGTGGCTCTGCTATTGCAGAGCATGTAATAAATAGCAGGAATTGTGCTTTTGATTTTAGTGTGGACTGTTTCTCGATTTTATCAAGGTCCTACTCCTCATATCACCTCAAGGTTCTAAAATCTTTGTACATCAGATCCTGTGGGTCTTCCCTCTGTAAACAGAGGAAATGCTTACTGGGTCTGAATGTTATTGGACTCTAGCTTTCTTGAAATTCATTATTTTATTTTTTTTCCCTCCATTCATTATCATTAATATTAATTAAATTTACATGCTTATTTTTTATATTCCAGAAATAAACTTGATAGGGTTGGGGCGAAACTGCTTGTTTTTTAGCTTTTTAAAATGCCATATAAATTTTGCTTATTTTTAGCTATTTTTTATTCAGGAAATACAAAGAAAAATCTTACATCTCAGAATTTCTTGTAGTCAGATACAGTAAACAAAGAGCTTGACAAAATAACTTGAATAACAGGTTGTTTTATTTCAGCAGCAGCTATAAAAAGTTATAAAAATTATAAATAAAAAAAAAGAAATGAAATAAGCAAGCACTTTACAGAGCCATACATCATTTTTTTTAAAAAGAAGTCTCCCAAATTATTTAGTCAGGCTATTTTTGTTGTTACTATCACAATAGCCTTGTACCCCAGCCTTCATCAGGTGCTTGGTGATCCAGGTAACTATCTGTGAACTTTGAACTGAACCCTTTATTTAATCTACAGGAATAGACTGTTCTCTTTCCACTGTCCATGTCTAGGGGTATCTTATCTTGTGCTTAGTAATGTTTAGTTATTGCTCACCTTGTTTCCACTGTGACTAGGGATTGAACTTATAATTACTATATCACCAAATTCAGGAACAAATGCTTTAACCCACTAGGCTATTGTCCCATGGGACAATCCTGAGTCTAGAAGTGTGAGCCTTAAACATAAATTTAAACAGAATGTCTCAAATAATTTCCGTTTTAGCTTTTTTTTTAATACTAGAGTCTACCCAATTCAAGGCTTGATGGCCACTCAAAGTAAAGGTTTATTGAATGAGGTGTGTTATATGCATGTAAGGACAGTAGGAAGTGAAGATTATGACAATACGGAGGATCAATAATGACTGACCCTTGACTTGAAGAGTGTTCAGGAAAGCATCCATTCTAGAGTTTGTTCCACAAATTGGCACTTCTTGGGAAAAACAATTAGAACTTTCTCCTCATAATTGAAATATGGAGGAAATGAGGGTGATACAGTTCCATGGACATAGCTGTTAGTCCAAACTGGTGGAACAATGATGGCTAAATGTTCAAAGGTTAGATAACAAAATGGCTGCTCTGATGACAGCCAACATTTTGGCCATGTAGAAAGTGTAGAAAGGAGAATCAACTTTGAAGGAATATTTTCATGTTCATAGGAATTTTTCTTGTTTTCTTGAATCATTCCCCCCTCCATCCACCAAGCAAGGCAGGAATGTTACTAGTGCACAGGGGATTACAGGGATTGAAAGTGAAAGAGAAGACTGAGAATAGGGAGGATTGAGAAAAGGACAAAAGATGAATGGGATTCAAGAAGGCAGAAAATAGTGATTGATGTTGCATTTGAATTTCTTAAGATTGTAGTTATCAGGGAAGCAAGAGAAGAGAGTTCTACAGGTGAGAAGTATGAGAAAAGAAACTCTTTGAGTAGAAGTGGCAGTTGCATTTAACTATTTCAGTACTAAGGATGGGACCTACATGCCAATCTAGTAGCACTCTTTCAACAGAAACCTGAAGAAGATGTGCACATAATGACCGAAATGATGTGATAACAACAAGGAAGATGAGGACATTAGTATGATCATTACATATGATTTGTGCATATTATACACATGTACTGAATATTTACATTTTCTGTCCAGGTTTGTTTCGAATGGGGTGATCAAAAATAAACCATGTACACTAGGATAAATAATCCTCCTTTACTCTGTATTCTATTAGTAAGAAGCACTTCTTCCCATCAACTGCTGCCTTGTGTAATCTTGTGTCACTACAATTATTACTTTTTCAAGATGTTACAAAACAGAATTTTCGGACATGAGTGTGTCCTTCCTCAATGAGAAATAAAATGAAGTAGGACATTTTCTTTTTTTTTTCTTTTGCTTTTAACGACTATTGAAACTCAAGCTCACCCCAGACCTCAAGTGGAATACATAAATATGATGTGTTGCTATAAATGCTTGGAAAATAGAATAGTCATTGTAATGCACTAGTAAGTACCTGACTGACCCCACCTGCAATATTCGATGTTTGAGATATAATCACACCAAACCAAAAAAAAAAAAAGATTATTGCTGCCATATCTGGTTTGGAGCTGCCCAGTCTTTAATTGTTCATCTTGATAGAGTTCAAAAGCGTCTACGCGGCTTGTAAGTGTTTAATTATTTCCAACTATACAGCACTCCCTCCCCAACCGAAAAGTAGGGAGTTTCTTGCTACTCTCTCTAAGCCGTATACACAAGGATGAATAATCCTCCTTTCCTTTGTATTCCATTAGTAAGAAGCGCTTGGACAGCTTTTTCCCATGAACTGCTGCCTTGTGTCATAGAATCCTGGAAGGATGTTTTCCCAGCCACTACAATCATGATTTTTTTCATGCCTGGAGTTAATCATCTCCTTTTTCGCATAACCTCATGAACTTCACTATTTGTCTGTTCTTAAGTGTCTTACAACACCCTAACATTCTACCTTGTGCCTTGTATATTTATTAATCATTTCACCCCCAAGAAAAGCGGTAAAACCATGAGTACGTGGAGGATTACAGGGAATGAAAGAGAAGACGGGTTGGTTTGATGAAAGGGCAAAAGATGAACAGGGTTCATGTAGATGGGAATTGATATTGCATTTAAACCTTTGAAGATTAGGAAACTGGTTCTACAAGTGGGAAGTGCAAGAAAAGAGACTGTTGGAGTAGAAGTGGTGGTTGCATTTAGCTATTTCAACAATAATATAGTGGGACCTAATTTCCAATCTGGTAGCATGCTTAAATTCATGTATTTAGGTCACCAGGGCAAAAGGCCCATCAGAACAGTTACCATGAAAATATTTGTAGAAAAGACAGAGGGAAGCAATTTGACGTTTGTGAGAAAGTGACTGAAGTTGAGATGCCTGGTCAGAATTGATTACATTATAGACCCCTTCTTTGGATTTTGTCAAGAATCTTGAGATTATTCCACTAGCAGCTCGGATTGAGGAATTGGAGAGCCAAGTCCAAATTCCTGCCAAACATATTACATTCAATTACATGCTAATACCCTTGGCAAAGGTCTGATTCCTCTTCTTCTCCCCCCACCCAGCTATGGGTAAATAGCAAGACAGATTGGGTTCTATAGTCTAGGATGGCAACTGCTCTACCACAGAAAGAAATGGCAACCTACTGCCGGAAAAATCTGCCTCATCAATCATGTATCAAAAGATACATGATCGGCCAAGTGTGTAGCACGCATGACACATAACTAACTGATGGTGGTTAAATGAAAGCAGTTTTGTTTTGAAGGCATTAAAATTTACAAGCCTCCCACTGACTGGAGGTTCTTTTCAAGAGTAGTAGCCAGGTTTACTTTGTCTGATCTATCAGATTTGCTATTGAGACAGGAGCAGTTTTCTCAAACAAGAGACTAAGGTTGCATATTCACTCACTGGCCACTTAAATAAGTATACATGATCAAGGAGAATTTTATGCAAATATCTAATCAAACGATGATATGGTATCAATTTAATGGATATAAACATTTAA